TCTTCTAAGTGCATCACACACCATTCATCTGATCGGAAAGGAAAGAGGAGTTAGATTCCTTTATCCTCCCAACCAGCTTCATCAACGAAGCAGTTAAAGTCCTCAGAGTTCTGTGTTCTAAGTAGAAACCTATTCTTTGTAGGGGCGTATGGACTCCACAGGCCCTTGGCACTTTCACACCGTTGCAGGTATTACCACTTTCTAACCATAACTCTTTCTTCAAGCACAGTGTTCAGGATTGATATTAAACTGGTTAAAGCAGTTGCTCTGGTGGAAAGGGGAGCAGAGCAGGAAATGGAGGTCCTTATGCCCCATCCACTTGGCTTTTCTCTTGCCCTCCCTGAACCCTCCTTCTATGCTCTGCTAAAGACCTGAAACCACTGATCTAGTCTAACCTCCGTTTATTTAATGGTTATACAATAAATGTATTTTTAATTAAACTTTTAAGAAATAATACAGAGAGACTGTGTTCTTTATACTTTTTACCTTAATGATAACATTGTACAAAGTATACTAGACATTTAAGACCAGGATTTGACTTGGATACAGTGATATAAGCCACCACGGAATAGATCCCTCCTGATGCTTTTCTTAGCCACAGTCACTCCTCCTCCCTGTGCCTAGCTCCTGCAACCATTACGTACTCTTCATTTCTAAAATGCTCTCATTTCAAAGATACGTATATAAATGGAATCATACAGAATGTAAGCTTTTGGGGTTGACTTTCTCATCCATCCGAGTTGTTGCGTGTACCAATAGTTAGTTTCTTTGTGCTATTGAGTAGTGTTTGTGATATGGATATACCTAGTTTGTTTAATCATTCATTAGTTGAAGGACATCTGAGTTATTTCCAGCTTTTTGCTATTACAAATAAAGGTGCTATGAACACTCATGTACAGTTTGTGTGGACAAACTTTATTTCTCTGCAGTAAGTGCCCAAGAGTAAAATGGTAATTGCATGTTTAGTTTTTTAAGAAATTGCCAAACAATTTTCCAGAGTACAAATATCATTTTACATTTCCATCATCAGTTTATGTATGATCTCTGTATCTTCACCAACATTTGGTATTATCACTATTTTTATTTTAGTTATTCTGGTGGATATGTAGTGATATCTCATTGTGGTTTTAACTTGCATTTTCCTAATGGCTAATGATGTTGAACATCTTTTCATGTGTATATTTACCATTTGTACATCTTCTTTGGCAAATGTCTTTTGCCCATTTTCTAATTTTTTTTTTTGTTTTTTTTACTGTTGTAATTCTGAGAGTTCCTTATACAAGTAGATATTTCAGATGCAAGGCCTTTGTTAGATGGGGATTTATAATTTCTTTATTCTGTGGTGTGTGTGTTTTTTTCTCTTTACAGGACTTTTACAAAACAAATTTTGAATTCTAATAATATCTATTTTATCAAATTTTGCTTTAATTGTGTTAAGTTTTAAGAATTCTTTGCCTAGCCCTAGATTCTCAAATATTTTCTCTAAACATTCTAGTTTTATTTTACATTTAAGTTTGTGATTCATTTTAAATTAATTTTTTTTAAATTAATTCTCACCTGAGGATACATTTTTATTAATTTTTAGAGGGAAAAGGAGAGGGACTGGAGGGGAGAGACAAAGAGAAACATCAGTTGGTTGTCTTCTGGGCATGCCCTGACTGGGGATCAAACTTGCAACCTAGGTATGTGCCTGACTGGGATTCGAACATGCAACCTTTAGGTGTATGGGATGACACTCCAACCAAATGAGCACCCAGCCACGGCATAAGTTAACTTATGTATAAGATGTGAGATTTCTTGCCTGTGTATATCATTGTTTCAACACTATTTGCTCTTACATTGAGTTGCTTTTGCAACTTTGTTGAAAATCAGTAGTCTGTACTTTTGTGGGTCTATTCCGGTTTTTTGTTTTTTTTCCCCATTGATCTTTGTGTCTATTCCTCTGCCCCTATCACACAATATTGATTATTATAGATACACAGTAGAACTTAATATTGAGAAGGATGATTTCTCCATTCACTTCTTTGTCAAGATAGTTTTAGTTATGCCAAGGTCTGTGCCTTCCTGTATAAACTTTAGAATAAGTTTGTAACTATAAAAAAACTTGCTGGAGTTTTGATAGAATTGCATTAAACCTATCGATCATTAAACCTATGATGGGGAAACTTAACACTTTTACAATGAACATACCGTGTTTCCCGAAAATAAGACATCCTTCGAAAGTAAGATCTACTTACAGGTTTCCTTCTGAGTGAAATATAAGGCATCCCCCCTGAAAATAAGGCCCCCCTAGGCTAAACATGAGGAATTTGGTCCACTAATCTGAAAGAAATGGAGTCACAAGAAATTCACCAGGAAATTCAGGAATCGGATTGTTATGATGATGTTCCAGAAGATGATGACATGATTGTCATTGAATAAATGAGTAAATTCTTGATACTGTAGGATTCACAGTTTGTCTGGTTTGTGTTGACAACTACCGTACTACCGTACCGTATACGGGTAATAAATTTCCTTTATTTTCATTTAACAATAAATGTGTACTGTATTCTTCTTCATGGAAAAATAAGACATCCCTTGAAAATAAGACCTAGTGCATCTTTGGGAACAAAAATTAATATAAGACACTGTCTTATTTTCGGGGAAACAGAGTAGTATGTCTTCCTTTACTTAGATCTTAAATTGATTACTTTCATCATCATTTTATAATTTTAAACATATAGAATCTGAACATGTTTTTGTTATTTTTGGAGGGATTAGAGGTGATTGTAAATGGAGTTCTTTCTTAATTTTGGTTTTCAAATGTTCATTGTTTGTATATAGAAATGCTGTTTATTTTTGTATATTGATCTTATATGCTGCCTTGTATATTGAATATTTGGTGAACTTACGGTGTTGGAGTTTATAGATTCTTTTAGGATTTCAAGGTAGACTATCATGTCATCTGCAAATGGGGGCAGTTTTATTTCTTGTTTTCTAGTCTGTGTGCTTTTTCTTGCTTAATTTTTTTTCAGGTTTGAATGTGGTTTTTTTATATTAAATTTTACTGGTTGACATTGGTCAACATGCACATATAGGTTTCATGTGTGAATTTCTAAGTTGCAAAATTGAAAAAGCGAGAACTTCCAGAACGATGCAAAATAAGAATGGTAGGAGAAGATATTCTTGCCTTGTTCCTAAAGTATTCGACTTTCATCATTACATATATTGTTAGCTATAGGTTTTTTGTAGATGCTCTTTATCAAAGTGAGGAAGTTCCTCTCTGTTCCTAATTTGTTGAGAGTTTTTCTCATGAATAGATTTACTATAGTGTGTTTTTTGTCCTATTTTTTTCTGCATCGATTGACATAATTATTTGATTTTTTCTTACCTTATCGATACGGTAATATTGAACCAGTCTTGCATATCTACAATAAATCCTGTGGTGTATATTTCTTTTTATATATTTTTAAATTCAGTTTGTTAATATTTTGTTGAGCATTTTTTGCATCCAAGTTCATAGGAAATACTGGTCAGTCGTTTCCTTTTTTGTACTCATTGTCTGGTTTTGATATCGGGGTATTATTGGCCTCAGAAAATGAGTTGGGATATGTTTTCTCCTCTTGTATTTTTCTGAGAGTGACTATAAATTGATGTTCTTTTTTTAAAAAAAAATATTAATTCTTTAAATGTTTGGTAGAATTATCCATTGAAATAATCTGGACCTGGAGATTTCTTTTTGGGGTGCTTAAGTATGAATTTAGTTGCTGGATTCAGATTATCCATTTCATTTTGGCTGAGTTGTTACAGTTTGTGGTATTAAAGAATTGGTGTAAGTTGTTGAATTAAGTTTTCTTAATAGTCTCTTATTATTCTTTCATTAGCAACAAAGCTGTTGTAAATCTCATTTCTTTCTTAATACGGATGATTTGTGTCTTCTCTTTTTATGCTTGCCTGTCTTGCCGTAGGTTTATCAATTTTATTCATTTTTTTAAGAACCAGCTTTTTAATTAATTTCCTCTACTACTTTCCTGTTTTATTGATTTATGTTCTTTATTATTTTATTCTGCTTGCTTTAGGTTTAATTTGATCTTCTTTTTCTAGGTTCTTAAGTCAGAATTTTCCTTAATCTCTTCTCCTACCCCCTCACTGCCACCTTCCCTCTGAGATTTATTATGATTTTCCCCCTTTTTCCAATGTAAGCATTTAATGCTACAAAGTTTCCCTTCAATGAAGCTTTAACTATATCCCACATATTTTAATATGTTTTATTTTATTCAATGCTTTGTATTTTTTTCAAGACTTCGTCTTTGATTCATGAATTATCTAGGCTAATGTTGCTTAATTTCCATCTATCTACAGACTTCCTTTCTGTATTGATGTTTAATATTATTCCATATGATCAGAAAACATATTATTTCAGTTTTTAACATTTGTGAGGTTTGCTATTTGACCTAGCATCTGGCTTATTTTAAAACACCTGTTAACCAACTCTGCCTCAATACCTCATCTGTAGCTCACATTGCTTCTCTCATTGGCAGATAAGGGAAGCCCAGAGCAGCCTTCCATGGGCCCCTGAGTTAGTGACAGAACTAGACCTTGAGCCCCCAGAGCCCTGCCTACTTGGACCAGGAACCGAGTTTATCCTCCCCACAGAGCCTTTGCCCTCCATGACCCTTCCCATGACACATGATGAACACATAATTGAAGGTGGGATGGGATGGGGTGGGTACAGAGGAGTAGCCAGTCCAGGCCCTATGCCCCTACACTCTCACTGCTTTCTAATGGGGTGGTAAATGAGGAGGGACAACTCAGATGCCTAAGAAGCTTAGGCGCAAATCTCGTAGACAACCTCGGGCTGTTGCCCCCCTCACCCAGGCCCGCTGGGCGGCCCATTCCCACCCTTGCAAACAGTCTAAGCGTACTTTCAAGAGCTGTCAAGGCCGCCGCAGCCACCAAAATTCTGTATTGAGGGTTGCCAGCCAGCAACAAGCAGTTGACACTTCTTCTACCTCCTATAGGACCTACAGGAACAGTGAGGAACTTCGGTGTCGTATTGGGTCTGAAATCATCACACCTCTTCACGAGCCTTGGGACAAGACGAGTGTGAGCAGTCCCCAACGGGAGTTTCCGCCTGCCACTGCCAGAGAGGTGGACCCACTCCGAATTCACCCACAGCACCCACACGTTAGCCGGCCTCCTTCCTGGTGAGTACAGAGCCCCCAGTGGGCAGTCACGCTTCTGTAGAAGGATTCCAGCCATGACCATCTTGCCATGACCTCTTCACTGGCCACTATGTGTCTTCAACAGAATTGTCAGAGCCTTAGTGTATGGAGATAGAAGACATAAGTAGAGCAGTGAGTTCTTGTGCTGCCACTAGTCAGCTAACTACCCAGCACCTTAAGGCTGCCTGCCCCTTTCTAGAGTCCACAGAGAGCCTCTGGGCCAACCCAAGGGTCAGTGCTCATGGGGCTTGTGTTCAGTACTCCCAGGTGGCTGCTGAGGTGCTTCAGTCATTGATTCCAGAGTTCATTGTGTGTGCAGGGCTCTGGACGGGCTTTTTGGGAAAATGCAAAGATACAGAGTACTGTTCCCCTAGGATGTAGTCCCAGTGTCTTACCTATTTCACTTTATTGGAGTCCCCTGACCCCTTGATGACAACTTCAGAACTTTTCTAAAACAGCATGGTGCATGAACAGATCATGTCCAAGGTCTTTGCAGATGAGCAGAGCAGCCTTTAGGGCTGGAGGCTTACGCTCCAGGGGAGGAGAGAAGGACCAGGGAGACTTCAGTCTCTGGCTGAGACGCACTTTCCGATCTGGGATCCACCATGTAGTGACAACGTTGGGATTGGCAGGGGTAGGGGAAGGTTCACTTCGAGGCCATAATACTCAGTAAGTGCTGTCATTGTTATTTTATTCTGTTTGTCAATTGATATACTTTTTATTAGTGTTTTTAATAGGAAATTGATTTAATTATTATAATAAGTAATAATTGGCAGTCTCTTTAGCAATCTTCAGAAATACTGGGTCCTGTGGGAGAGTAAAGAATAATAAAAATGGTTGAGAGGCTGAAACAGCTTGTCTGGTCTAACATTCTTTATTTAAAAAATATATATATATCTTATTGATTTTTTACAGAGGAAGAGAGAAGGATAGAGAGTTAGAAACATCAATGAGACAGAATCATCCATCAGTTGCCTCTTGCACACCCCCTACTGGGGATGTGCCTGCAACCAAGGTACATGCCCTTGACCTGAATCAAATTGGGACCTTTCAGTCTATAGGCCAGCGCTCTATCCACTGAGCCAAACCGGTTTCAGCTGGTCTAACATTCTTATTTTACAGACAGGAATAGAGGTAAGATGACCTTTATAAGGTCATGAGCCATTAAAAAAGAGACAGAGGCAGGGCTGGGGTCCAAGTATCCTCACACCCAGCACAATGCTCTGGCTGTGATGTAACCAGAATATAGTGGCAAGATTTCAGAATAAAGCCTGGGCAGCAAATTGGAGAAGATTTTTAGACCTTAAGTAGATAATAATTCTCAGTTATTTTGGACTCACTGCCCATTTCAAAATAAATATTCTGTGAAATCTCCTTTATTCTCTCAAAATGGAATTCATAAATGTTGTTACTTACCAGATGTTCAGTTTCAAATTGAATTGGTGTAAAATCCTAACTATAATATGAGAAATAAAGAGAGTAATCTATAATAATAAAAACATAATATGCTAATTAGACCAGACAGCTAAACGACCTTCTGGATATCATTGGACATCCTTCTGGATGAAGCCATAGCTAGGGGCCAAGGCAGAGAGAGGCAGTTAGGAACGATCAGGCAGGCAAGCAGTTAGGAGTGATCAGGAAGGCAAGAAAGCAATTGGGGGCAATCTGGCAGGCAAGCCAGTGGTTAGGGGCAATCAGGCAGGCAGGTGAGCAGTTAGGGGTGATGAGGCAGGCAGGCAAGCAGTTAGTAGCCAGGGGTCCCAGAAAGGATGCAGGCTCGGCTAAGGGACCCCTCTAATTCCCCCCCCCTCATGAATTTCATGCACGGGGCCTCTGGTTAATAATAAGATAACGTGTATTTCATTGTTTAGATGCCTGAGCAAGACTTCACTAGAAAACATAGTCAGATATTTGCTCTTGTATGTGGAATTATGTTGAATTTGACAGCAACAAAAGCTGGCACATAAAGATGAGTCATGTCAGCAACTGGAGTATATAAACTGTGTTGCTATTGCTAACATGACTTTTCTGAAATGGTGAACAGCCCTTAGGAGAATGGCAAACAAAATAATGGATAGACAGTGTTTCTTGATAACATCATTTATAGTCCTGGAAAATTTTGTATTAGACCAGTATGAAAAATACTTTGTGTTCATGTATAAAATAGTCTCAGATAATTTATGTAGGCTTTACATCTCCTTTAATGTCTAACAAGTCTTTCAAAAGTTGTGTGGGATGCAGTACATTCTTTATTATGTGGGATTCTACTGTGAATTGTAGAGCAGGCAGCATCTGGTCTCTGTCTATTAATGCCTCGAGGACTCTCCAGACACTCTGACAAGCAAAAACACCCCAGAGCTCCCACAATTGGCATCTGAAGGCTGTGCCATCCTAATTTTGGAATCATAGACCTGAGTCTAGAATTATAAAGGTAAAAAAAAAATCCTATCCATGGAGGAAGTGGAAGAATTAGAAAATCACCATGTTGCAAACTTCGCCATACACATTGTCAGTAGTTGCTAAAACCATCAGATAAAGGTTGATGGGGAATTTTATAATAGATGGATCAGACTGATAACACCTGAAACCCCAGATCCGTCTTAACCCTGAAAGGAGTACAGCCAGACATTATCTTCTATACGTAAGTTCACAGCAACCTGAATGTAGACCGAACCTTCAGGCTTCATTTCAGAGAAGCATAAGGGATAGAAGAATGAGTTAGACAGACACATGAGGAACAAGAAAAATTTTTACACCATAAATTGACCTTGCTCCCCCCCCCCCCCATCAAATAAATGAATGGCGTGGGGGAGGAGGGGAAAGAGAGGACTGTTAATAAAAGTCACATCAACTAAACACAGTGTTGGACTTTCCTTGGGTCTTGATTCATGGTAATTTTAAAAATTATTTTTTAAAATTTGGAGAAATTTGAGCATAGACCGGGTATTAGGTAATATTAGGAATTACTGCTAATTTTGTTAAGTGAAACAATTAAATTTTTGTTATATTGAAAGAAAAGAAGTCCGTTAGAGGTATATATTTTACAAATATTTTATAATGAAGTCTTTTTCTTTAAAGTAATTTCACCCTCCAAAGAGTCAGGCATTAGTACAGGTGAAACAAGAGTGGTAGAATATTGATAATTATTGAAACTGAGTGGAAGGATGCATGGGGATTCATAAATTATACTATTTGTACTATTTTGGGCCATTTGAAAATTTTCTTAATAATTTTTTATTAATACCAATCTTTCACAAACTTCTTCAGAAAATAGAAGGGGAAGGGACACTTCCCAACTCATTCTGTGAGAACAGTATTACCCTGATACCAAACCAATGATATGGCAAGGACACTACAAACCAGTCTCCCTTCTGAATATACATGCAAAAATCGTCAACCGAAAAAAAAAAAATCATCAACAGAATAGTAGCAGAACAAATCCAGCAATGTATAAAAAGGAGTATTCATAAAGAGCAAATGAAATTCATTCCAGGATTGGTTAGCTTAATATCTGGAAATAAATCAATGTAATACACCATATTAATCGAACAAAGAACAAAACCCACATGTTCACCTCAAATAGAGAAAAAGCATTTGCAAATTTCAACACCCTCTCATGGTAAAAGCCATCAGCAATAGAAGGAAACTTTCTCAACCCAATAAAGAACATCTGTAAAAAGCCCGCAGCTAACCTCCAACTTAACGGAGGAAAATTCAGTGCTTTCCCTGTAAGATCAGGAACAAGCAAGGGTATCTGCTGTAGGCTCTGCAAAAAGAGAGCAAAGAATCCAGATTAGAAAGTAAGGAGTAAAACAATCTCTATTTGCAAATGACATGGGGTCTTATATGTAGAATATCCTAAGGAAATTAAAAAAGAAAAACTTTTTAAAACTAATAAACAAATTCAGCAATGTGATAGGATACAAGAGCAATACACAAAAAATGCTTGTATTTCTATTCATTAGCAGGGAACAACCCAGAAATGATCACATTTACAATAATGCCCAAAAGAATAAAATACTTAAGAATAAATTTAAGCCAAAACCGGTTTGGCTCAGTGGATAAAATGTCGGTCTGCAGACTGAAAGGTCCCAGGGTTTGATTCTGGTCAAGGGCATGTACCTTGGTTGCGGGCACATCCCCGGTAGGGGGTGTGCAGGAGGCAGCTGGTTGATGTTTCTCTCTCATCGATGTTTCTACCTCTCTAACCCTCTCCCTTCCTCTCTGTAAAAAATCAATAAAATATAAAATAAAATAAAATCTTTAAAAAAAAGAATAAATTTAACAAAAGAAGTACAGGATTTATACATTGAGAACTACAAAAGATTGTTGAAAGAAATTAAGGAAGATATAAATAATGGACATCCCTGTTCATAGGTAAAAAGTCTTACTATTGTCAATACTCCCCAAATTGATCTGCATATTCAATATAATCAAAATCAAAATCCCAGAGTGTTTTTGTTGGAAGGTTTTGTTTGTTAGTGTTGTTGTTTGTTTAGAAATTGGCAAACTGATTCTAAAATTTATATGGAAATGCAAGGGAACCAAAATAGTGAAAATAGTCTTGGAAAAAAAACATTTGGAGGACTTATACGTCTCAACTTACCACAAAACTACAGTAATTAAGACAGTGTGGGACTGACGTATAAAGCAAGGGAATAAAATTGAGAGTCCAGAAATAATCCATACATTCATGGATAATTATTTTAAAATTTAGATGCTGATGAGCCACTTGGTTCTTAAATCTGTTCTATTCATTGAGCTCGCTAGATCCAGCCCTGGATGATTCACTAAGGCCAGTGACACCATCTGGGTTCTGCTCTCATTTCATCTCGCAGGGGACAGCGGGGTACTTGGGAACACATAAGAAGCGGAACCTGAAGCACACTGTGTTCAGGGAAGGCTTCCCCAAGGAGGGACTGACCTCTAACCAGGAGAGAAAGGGTGCTCCAGTCTGAAGGCCTGTCCTGTGCAGAGCC